TGACCATTATTATCATTCTGGCTATTCTGGACCATGTGACCATGTGACATTTTGACCATGTGAATTCCTCACCCTGTAACCATTTTTACCAATCCTACTATTATGAATCATGTGACCATGTGACCATGCGGCCATGGTACCATGTGACCATGTGAACATAGTCTCATGTGACCATGTTATTATAGTACCATGTGACCATGTAAACATAGTACAATGTGACCATGTCACCATAGTCTCATGTGACTATTGTAATATAGTACCATGTGACCATGTAAACATAGTACCATGTGATCATGTGAAAATAATACCATATCATTCTTGAAACATATGCCAACCGTTATGTTAATGAGCCGTGACTAACGTTACCATGTCACTTTGTGATCGTGTGACCGAGTGGCCATCTCACCAACTCCTCTCTACTGTGACCCGATATTTGTGTTTAGTGATACTCTAGAAACAACATCTAAAGTCCAGATCCGACCCGGATCTATGACTATACTATACTACAAAAGATAAAACTTCAAAACTGTCAACAATTAGAAGAAAAAATGTAGAAGAAGCATCACTGTTCATCATATAAACACCGACAACCATCAATGTGGGTAGAAACAAATGAGATTTTCACATTTTCTTACCTGTTTTCAACTTCTTCAACAATTTTCCACTGATTTTGCTTTGATTTCTACTGATTTTGGAGAAAAAATCGCAAGATTGAGATGAGAGAGAAAGTGTAGGAGAGAGAGAGCTCAATGTCGATGAGGGAGAGAGAGACAGGAGAGAGACACCGGAAAGAGAGAGGAGAGAGACCCCGTTTACCCTAATTTTTGGGGATATTTTTTTAATAAAAAATTAAATATAAAAGGGTGTTTTGGTCATTATTTATAGAAGAGGGTATATTAGATGTTGGAATTTTTTTTTATAAGGGGAGGGTATGAGTGGAAGTTGATGTAGCACATTGAGTGTAAAACGGAAGTTGCCCCTTTCGTAAGTTTTATATTTTACGGTTACCGTGGATTCTGCGATTCTCGAACCCGAACCCAAGCTCTCGAGAAGCTCTTTCTTGCCTTGTTCCTGCTCTTCCCCTTTCGTTCCCCATATCTTCCTTCCCGCTCCGAATGATACCTTCATCGATGCACAAAACTAAGGATTTCAAAACCCTAACCCAAACCTTAGCTTTTCAGACGTGATCTCAACAGTTGTATTTCTTTATCTTCTATAATGCAGAGAAAAGAAAAGGGTGAGATTGTTTACCTTTTTGCCCGCGTCATGGATGGGTTTGCCGTCATGGATAAGGACAGGCACTTTCTTGTGGACAGAGTTCGACTTCAAGGGCAGTTCACCTGTATGGACTCGCCCAGAAGTCCAAAACCACCACGCTGTCCTTCCCCACTGTTGTAATTCTTTTCACCACATTGAATCTCTGTGTGTGTGTGTGTGTGTTTGTATATATACACACAGATGTAGCGAAGTGGAAGTGGTGGAGACGTAACAGGCTTCTCGTATGGCTTCTGAATATTTTAATTTTGGGTACTTAGCTTCTGAACTGGATGTTGGGTGCTTGTGGATTGCACGACCACGACACTGATCCGAGTCGTCTTCCCGAGTCCTCCCGAGTTTACCGAGTCAACCATGAACGGCGGAGTCGTGACTGAACTTTTTCCATTATCCTGATCTCAAGAGATCCGGGTTTGTAATAAAACAGTATTCATGTAATTTTATATATCCACAAAGTTGCAGACTTTCATGGAGTTTTCAATATTTTGATGTAGGATTAGGAAAACCCACATCCTAAATTTCTAGCATTTCACTATCTAATGTTTCGAGAAAGAATGGATCCACACAAAAGATCAAACTATGTTTGCCAAGATATCTCCATATAGACCAGAGGAGATTGTCTTTTGTAGAATTCTTGCTCAATGATCTAACAAACAAGAATATACCGAACACACTTCATCCCAGTTAAAGCAGGAAACCATTGACCGAGTTTCCGGGCAGATGCAGGCCTCGGACTCAGTATACTCGTATACACCATATCAGTACACATAATATGTTACAAATCTTCAGAAATTAAACCCAAAAAAAATCATCACTTTATCGACGAAAAATATTGTGAAGAAATATGAAAAGATATTTGAGAGAGAAAGAGATAATGTCATGAGGGAGAAATATACTTTTTTTATTCATGCTAATGCCTTTTTAAATACAAAACAAAAAACCAACGTGGGAAGAGAACGTGAGCAAATTACATGGGATATGCCTAAAGACTAGCACCCATCTTTTGAAGATTTCAAAATAAATAAAATAATGCAATAAAATAAAACAAGATTATTCCTAACAATCTCTCTCTTAATCTTGTCTTTCAATCCTCGTCACAGTAACGTCGGTTCCTCATAGACTTCTTCCTCGAGATGGATTTCTTCGTCATTTTTTTTGGTTTTCGATCTAGGACATTCAGAAGCGTAATGTCCATACTTTTGACAAGTAAAACACGGTATATGTCCTTTATCACGTTCGCCTCGTCCACGTCCACGACCTCTTCCACGTTTCTGTCGAGTTTGCTACTCTGCATAAGTGAGCAAAAGTTGTCCATCGGAGTTATCACCCATATTGCGCATCCGAATGATCCGGTCCTCAAATACTTTTATTTTCCCGATCGCTTCCTCGAACGACATGTTATCAATATCTGAATATTGTTCTATAGATGCAACTAATTGAAAAAACTTATCTGGCACCGAATCAAGAAGTTTCCTAACGAGTGCGCCATCCTCGAGAGTAGCACCAAGATCGCTGTATTTGGTGACCATACTGCTCAATTTCCCGGCAAATTCATCAATCGTCTCACCTTCATTCATACGCAAAGCGTCGAATTCACTTTTCAAGGTTTGCAAACGTGTCTTCTGCACACGATCAACCCCCACGTACCGAGTCTTCAGGGATTCCCAAATCTCACTAGCAGATTTCTTCTTTGCTATCTGCATAAGAACATCTTCCGGTACCGTTTGAAAGATGAACGCTCGAGCTACCTTATTCTTTTTCTCGTCTACGACCACTCCGGTCGCAAGTTCAACTGCGTCCCAGATCCCCTGGGCATCCACGATCGCCTCCATCTTGATCGCCCATGTCGTATAATTGGACGACGTCAACATGGGTCATTGCAACGACACTCGCCGTTTTCCTTTACTCCTTGCGTGATGAGTGACATAGTTACTCATACAAGTCTTCCCGACTAGACACAGATCCTCCCGACCAGATGTAGGTCCTCCCGACCAAACACAAGTCCTATCGATCGTGCTCTGATACCACTGTTACAAATCTTCAGAAACCAAACCCAAAAAAAAATCATCACTTTATCGACGAAAAATATTGTGAAGAAATATGAAAAGATATTTGAGAGAGAAAGAGATAATGTCATGAGGGAGAAAGATACTTTTTTTATTCATGCTAATGCCTTTTTAAATACAAAACAAAAAACCAACGTGGGAAGAGAACGTGAGCAAATTACATGGGATATGCCTAAAGACTAGCACCCATCTTTTGAAGATTTCAAAATAAATAAAATAATGCAATAAAATAAAACAAGATTATTCCTAACATAATATTCATTCTTATTGAACGTAAATATTTACCGTTTTGAGTCTTCTTTCTCGGATACTTGGCGGAAAGCATTCACTTGTTCGGCTCGAGTTTCAAAGAAGCACTGCAAGGCCACTTAGAGATGCCACATGAGGAAACCCAAACCGAGACTTGTTCGCTCGGAGCGCCGCCGAGGCCGGGACGGCGGTCCATCTGCTATCCAGGAATGGTACGGTTCAATTTCTGCCATTTCCCACGATATTCACATGAATACTACACACATATATATAGGTGTGTCTGTGTATATGTATATCGATTATATATATATATATATATGTTTGTGTTTGTGTCGATTCTAATGCTGATGCTTCTTTTTTCTTTCTACATTCACAAAAAAATCCAGTAATCTGTTGTGCGATAATTTCCCCCCGACGGAACAGCAAAGGATAAAAAGATAAATACTTGTTTTTTTGTCACGTATCTGGGGACAACTTAGATATTTTTTTTTGTAATAACGTGGGAACCTCGCACCTTTTAGGTACGCTGACTAGATAAAGCCCCATCCCGCCATACGAACCCGCGACACACGATGGGTATGTGAATCGGCCGTAACCGATGGGAGATAAATGCGTTAGTAAGGAGTCAAACCCACAATCTTACGGTACGAGATAAATTACCTTATCAATTAATCTAGAGGTTTTTCCCAAACAGATCTGCGGGATATACATATAAATATAATATGAATGATAACGTTTGATAAATTGTATGGACTCTCTTTGATTAAAATGGTTGTTGTTTGGATGAATAGGTCGTCCGACTTTAATGGTAATGGGACCACATTTTATGAACAAAACCAAAATTTGTGAGTATAGTTTCTGTTTCTCGGCTAAGACAGTGCCACCAAAGGAGTTTTATGGTTGAAGAGTAAGATGTTTTTGTAAAAGACAAAATACTCTTCTTGATGATTTTACAGATCGATAGTTGTACATATATACAAATATGCAGTATCAAGAAAAAAAGGAATGTACGATGAATGACAATACATGTAAGGAAACATAATATCTTGTGTGACAAGAAAGGAAATGTGATTGAGGTAATGGCGGTGTTTCTTTGTTCTTCATCAGTCATGGCCGAGATTTAGCTTCTCCCGTGTTATCGTCAACATTCTCCCTCAAGATTGGTCGGGGAAGATCAACTAGGCCAATCTCGGTTGAGCACAAACGAGCTCGTAGCCTTGGTAAGAATATCCGCGAGTTGATCTTGACTTCGAGTAAACTTGGTCATGAAAAGTCCTTGGAGTGATCTTTTCCTGGATGAAGTGGCTATCAACCTCGATGTGCTTTGTGCGCTTATGGAACACAGAATTGGCTGCGATATGTATCGCCGCTTGGTTATCACAATGCATAGGCGTAGGCTGCTCAACATTGATTCTGAGATCCTTTAGTAGTTGACGCAACCATAATACCTCACTTGTTGTGTTGGCCATAGCTCGGTATTCGGCTTCCACGCTTGACCGTGCTACCACCGTTTGCTTCTTGCTCTTCCATGTGACCAAGTTTCCTCCAATAAATGTACAGTATTCGCTAGTTGATCTTCGGTCTGTCCTATCACCCGCCCAATCTGCGTCGCAATAAGCTACAAGCTCGGTATGATTGTTGTTTGCCATCCAAATGCCTTTGTTTGGTGTTCCTTTCAGATATTTGAGTATCCGATCGACCATGTTCCAATGAGTCGACGAGGAGCATGCATCCACTGGCTCACCTGATGCACAGCAAAACTTATATCAGGTCGAGTGATAGTGAGATATATATAAGTTTACCTACGAGTCGTGGTATTGTGCCAGATCATCCAATGATTCCCCCTCGCATTGATCCTTGAAGTTTTCTTCAATCAGAGTGCGAACTGACTTGGAGCCCGCCTTGCATGTGTCCTGCAATAGTTAAAGAAGATATTTCCTTTGCGAAAGGAATAACGCGTTAGGAAAACGAGTTACTTCAATCCCAAGAAAGTATTTGAGAGAACCAAGATCCTTGATGTCGAAGACACTTTGAAGATATGATTTTGTCTCTCGAATGCCTTTTGTATCATCCCCAGAGAGAATGATATCATCGACATAGACTAATGAAACAACAATTCCGGCCGGGCTACGTAGGGTGAAGAGAGAGCGGTCCGAGTCGCTACGAACAAAACCTCGGGTGATAAATGCCGAAGATAACTTGTGATACCAAGCTCTTGGCGATTGTTTCAAAACGTAAATGGCTTTCTTCAACTTGCAAACTTGTCCCGGAAGCAATGGACGATTAAGACCTGGCGGAGGCATCATAAAGATATCCTCCTCGAGATCACCCTGGAGAAAGACGTTCTTGACGTCCATCTGCCACAAAGACCAGTCCAAGTTAATAGCCAAAGACAAAAGAATACGAACAGTGGGCAACTTAGCTACGGGCGCAAATGTGTCTGTGTAATCTTCGCCATATATTTGAGTGAACCCCTTTGCCACTAAGCGAGCTTTGTATCTCTCTATGGTTCAGTCGCTGTGATATTTGATCTTGTAGACCCACTTGCATCCAACGACATGCTTATCCGGCGGAGAAGACGTTATTTCCCACTTTCCATTTCGTTGTAAAGCCTCAAGTTCTTCATCCATTGCCTTTTTCCACACCACATTATCCTTGGCTTCTTCATACGAGTTTGGTTCTATGTCCTGCAAGAGTGAACTTAGAAAACATTGTAAATCAGACGGATAATCGGATAAAGAAAAGTGAGCATAGGATTCGAGGTACGAGGGGGGACGACGAGTTCTAGTTCCGCGACGAAGGAGAGGA